AAAAAAAATTATTTATAAGTATTGATATCCAATGCTAATTTTTAAAATTTCATCCATAATGTCGTTTTATGAAACTTTGTAGTTATTATTACCTTATTTTTCTATTAATTTTAGAAATCAGAAATTATCAAATTATACAAAAAAACAGAATTACATATTTAAGCTAAAGATTTGGACTAATGCATTAACCATTTTTTGTTTAAATATACTCAAAAGTAGGTGTATTTAGATTTAATAATTAAGAAATTCTTTCAATAAAAAAAATTTTAATTTAGTTTTTCTTATATTTTCCAAAAAACATGTATAATAAAAAGGAAATACTCATAAAAAACCGTAAAAACTATTATTTGAGAAATCAGTTTTATACGTGTGGGCTTTTGCACTTTAATTCTTAAAATGACTAGCTACAAAGACACTTTTAATGAATTAAATATATTATATCTAATCTACAATATTCAAAAGTAGTTAATAATTTCTGTCAATAAAAAAATATTTTTTCTTATTTTTTCCTTATATTTCCAAATAACATACATGATAAAAATACTCAAAAAATAAAAAATTATATTTAAAAAATGAATAAACATTATTTTATGAAAAAATAGTTTTATAATTAAAAAAGAAAAAGTTCACAGAAAAACTTGATATTAAAAGAAACAACTCTTTAAGTCATAATCACAAAAAACATAATATATATATTTTAAAAGTAATTGAAACATTTATTAATATCATATAATTTGTAAGATTATTAAAGTAATCTTAATACCATAAACTAAGATATCTTTGATGAACTAAAAATATTTTATAATTCATACTACCAAGATGTTTATTCATTTTTCACAATGTTTTATTAAATTTTTAGTTTTGATTTAATTTTTATATAGGTTTTTAGCAGAATACATAAATAAAAATAAATCTTCAAATTATAATCAAACCTAGTATACCATTAATATTTTCTAGAAGGTTTAATATTTTGATATCTATTTTTAATTATTTTATATATTTATTGAACTTAATATACCTAAAATAAGAATACATAAACCAATATGAGTATTTAAGGTTAATTTATTCAGAATAGTTTTAGTTTATCTTTTAATCAAAAGCGTCAAGTTACTTAACATTTACGAAAAAATAATTATTTTTAAGGATTGATATCCATTGCTAAGTTTTAAAATTCCATCCATAATGTCGGTTTATGAAATTTGTACTTGTTATTACCTTATTTTTCTATTATTTTTAGAAATCAGCAAATATCAAATTATACAAATAGTTTTACCAAAAAAAACAGAATTACATACTTATGCTAAAGAATATTTTTAATTACATAAGAATATGGTATTTAAGGTAAAATTATTCACAATATTTTTAATTTATCTTTTATACAAAAGTGTAATTACTTGAATTTAAAAAATAGTTATTTAGAAGTATTGATATCTAGTTTTAAAATGCTATCAGTAATTTCAGTTTATGAAAATTTGTACTTATTATTACCTTACTTTCTATTGTTTTTTAAAAATCAGCAAGTATCAAAAATTACAAAAAAAAAAAAACAGAATTGCATATTTAAGCTAAAGATTTGGACTAATGCATGAACCAAATTTTGTTTAACTAGACTCAAAGGTAGTTGTACTTAGAATTAAAGAAATATATGTAATTCAATATAACCTACAAAATAAATACATTAAAAATCAAATTAATACACCAAAAATCAAAAAATTTATTGCAAATAACAAAATTAATCAAAATTTTGATTTATCTAGAACAAAAAAAATATGATGGAATTTGGAGAAGCTAATGCAATCCAATATACCAAAGTAATACCAAATAGACTAGATATTATCGTATTATATATCCAAAATTACATGTCTAACTAAAATAATATAATATTTTTAAAAGAAACTATACAGATAAATTATAAAAGTAACTTCAATTTAGAGTCAAATATTAACAGAGTTTTATTATATATTTATTTTGTAAATATTTATAGTCGTGCATGATCTCATGAAAATCACCTACCGTAGTATCCTCTATATACTATATTAGAACTCACTTGACCAATCAAAATGTGACACATGTCAGTGGTTTCAAATTAAAAAAAATGATTCAGTTATAAAAGAAAAATTCAAAATTGTATCACGTTATTTTAAAAAAAAAAAATATTTTGTAACTTTAAAAATTAAATCCCTTTTTCCCCTAACTGTTGTCATCACACGTTCTATTTTTTTTTGTCAGTAACTCCACATATCAATGTTCATCTCCTCAGTTACATTCAATCAGTTTTTAAATTTTCTCTTTAATCCTATTCTCATTTTCTTCTCTATTGTTCCACTTTTTCTTTGTCATTTTTTTTTGGAGTATAGCAAAGATCTTTATTCTAATAACTTCTTCTTTTATTCTGAAAATAATTCTATGTCATTCCTTCTTCATAAATCAAGTTGAACGTTAAGTAAAAAAAATAGGATGACAGTGAAATTAATTGATCCGTGCTTGGCACGGGAGGTAACTAGTATAATGATAATCTAACTTTTACATTTATCACTTATTCACTTTGTAAAAATACAAATGAGCTTTATTTTTAGTTTAAAACTTATATTTTCAATTCATTTATGTCAATATATTTCTAGCTCCAATTATATAGTTGGAATTTTCTAATCACAAAATATTTAAATATTTATTTTTATTTATTTCAGTTACACAAATTAAAATGAGATTTCATGGGGTTAGACTCAGAGGTGGACGTTTGAATATCAATTAATTTTTAGTTTTGATTTAATTTTTTATATAGGTTTTTAGCTGAATACATAAATAAAAAAAATCTTCAATTTATAATCAAACCTAGTATACCACTAAAAGTTTCTAGAAGGTTTAACATTTTGATATCTATTTTTAATTATTTTATATATTTATTCAACTTAATAAACCTAAAATAAGAGTACATAAACCAATATTGGTATTTAAGGTTATCTTCGGAACGACTCAAACTCGATCACCACTTGATCTTTAAAAATGGTTGTTGAGAAAAAAAAAAATATATATATATATATATGAGTATTTAAGGTTAAATTATTCAAGAAATTTTTTTGAATTATATAGAGGTATCTTGGTTCCACAAAAGTGGTCCAGACTAGTCACGTATTGCCACGTGTCGGTCTTCTGTCTCTGGTGATGCCGAAATGTTAATTACCCAGTGGTCGGGACTCGAACCCTAGTAGCTTCACCGTATTGGGTTTTTTCCATCAAGTTATTCAGGATACCTATATATAATTCAGAATATTTTTAGTTTATCTTTTCTACAAAAGTGTTAAGTTACTTAAAATTTACAAAAATAATAATTATTTATAAGTATTAATATCCATTCCTAAGTTTTAAAATTCCATCGGGAATTTCGGTTTATGAAATTTTTTACTTATTATTACCTTATTTTCTATTTTTTTAGAAATCAGCAAATATCAAATTATACAAAAAAAATTACCAAAACAAAAACAAAATTACATATTTAAGCTAAATATTTGGATTAATGCATTAACCAATGTTTTTTTAAATAGACTCAAAAGTAGGGGTACTTAGATTTAAATAAAATATATGTGATTCAATATAACCAACAAATAAATACTTTAAAAAATCAAATTTATATACCAAAAATCAAAATTCTTAATGCAAATAACAAAATTAATCAAAATTTTAATTTATCCAGAACAAAAAAATATATGATTGAATTTGGAGAAGCTAATACAATCCAATATAGCCAAGTAATACTAAGTAGACTGGATACTATCATATTATATTTCCAAAATTACATGTCTAACTAAAATAATATAATATTATCAAAGAGAAATTATACATATAAATTATAAAAAAACTTAAATTTAAAGTCAAATATTAATAAAGTTTTATAATATATTTATTTTGTAAATTTATAGTCATGCATAAGCACATGAAAATCACCTAGTGTAGTAATATAATGATAATCTACTTTTACATTCATCACTTATTCACTTTGTAAAAATACAACTGAGCTTTATTTTTAGTTTAAAACTTATTTTTTCAGTTCATCTATGTCAATATATTTCTAGCTCCAACTATATAGTTGGAACTTTCTAATCACAAAATATTTAAATATTTAATATAAATTTTCATTTTTTACTAATTTCAATTACACAAATTAAAATGAGATTTCATTGGGTAAGAGTCTTGACCTAGCGACTTGACCAAAACTCGGAGATTAATCGGGGATTAATCGGGGAGTAATTTATAAATATTTTTCTTTAATTTCAGATACTTCTAGATATATATACAGATTTATCGACATAGTACAAACAAGGTTGTGTAGCCTAGTGTAAAACATCGAAGGGAAAAAGCTATCATGTCTTGGGTTCAACTACCAGTCTCGTCTCTTTTCATTTTTTGTTTTAGAAAAAAAAAGGAATTGTGATTTGTAAAGATCCCACATTCTGGGCGCAAACTCGGCAACTCGCCCGAGTTTAAGAACACCCGTAAGACTTAGAGGTGTACATTTGAATATCCGTTAAATTTTAGTTTGGCTTTATTCGGGTTTTTAGTTTTCTCAAATGGGGATCATTAACGTTATACTGAAACGAGAATTATGAAGTGGATACAGATGAGCATTACCAGCCAAAATCGCAAAAATGAAATCTCTCTTCCTCTGTACATGAGGCCCATCTTCATACTCACTGTTTGTCCAAATCCTCTTTTGAGGTTTTGTTTTTTATTGATTATTCCTTTTGTTTTGTAATTTTATTTTATCTTTTTGAGGAAATATAATCTTTGTTTAAGTTATATACTTCTCCTTTCCCTGAAAGGCTTTTAGACAGTTGTGTTCATGAATTTAGTCTTCATAATAAGATTGTCTGATTGCCTCCAACAAACCAAAAGTTACAACCAATAGATCATAACTAGTTATTACATGTCTTAACATAAACTAAATGAAATAAAGACTTTAAAGATCAGCAATAACACAGAACTAATGTTCTAACGACATCTTTCTAGTTATTTTGAGTGTCAATAGAGAGAAGCATCAGAGTAGACGAAACTTGCATTTGACTAATGTTACTTTGAATCTTACCATGCCTGTTCATCATCTTATCTTCATATTCCTTGAGTTCCTCAAGAGAAAGCTCCTCAATGGGCTTGTCAAACTTCTCTTCTCCAGCAGGTTCAAGCTGATTCTGAAAATCTTCGCCTCTTTTCTTCACAGCTTCAACTTGTTCCATGATCGAGTTGAGGCGTTTACATATCCTCTTCTCGTGTCTAGCTCTGTTGCCTCTACCATTGCTTTGATGGTTCACCGGTATCTGAGTCTTCGGATTCGTTGTTATAACGTTCTGCAACCAAATCAAAACTCGGTCTCCCGTAGGCATAAGGTTTGTTTCCAGGAGAGAATACAAGTATACCAACCTCAGCGTTGCACAGAGTCGCAATCTCAGCAGCTTTCTTGAACAAACCCGATCTACGTTTTGAAAACGTGACCTGCTTTGTGTTTGTGTCTTGCACTTTCTCCATCTTAATCTTTCTCCTACCCATTTTTTCTTTGCTTTTGTTTATGTTTTCAAGTTACTGTATGATCTGTTTCAGTTATTTCTTTATGTATTTATAGTAGTGAATGTGTGAAGAGTTTTCATTGAACCTCGTCATCATATTAAAGTGTAGTTTAAGTAAGTCAATTTTGCATAGATACATACTTAGAGTTACAGCAGAACCTCTATAAATTAATACTCGATAAATTAATATACACTAAATATCTCTATAAATTAATATAATTTTATAGTCTCAAATTGAGTTTTTGGTTCAATTAGTATATCTATAAATTAATATCTTTCTAAATTAATAAAAAAATAAAATTTTGGTGTATTCCCAACATTATTAATTTATAGAGGTTTTACTGTATTGGTAAAAATTTTGAATTACCTTTTAGAGCATTGAATACTTTCTACATATTCAATCAATATCCTTGGATTTTTTACTATTGTTAGTATTATTTTACAAGTGGACCTCTTATTAAATTTTAGTTTGAACTACTTCAAAAGAACTTTACAAAGCTGACAAAAAAATACCTTACCAAATTAGTTTATTTACAATAAAGCTACTTTGAACAAAAAAACAAAACTTCTATATATGATTCCAATTTCAGCACTAAATATATATTGAAAAACAACCGTATTATAATATATCTAACTTCTACATTCATCACTTATTTACTTTGTAAAAATAAAAATGGGGCTTTATTTTTAGTTTAAAACTTAGATTTTTTCATTCATTTATGTTTATATATTTCTAGCTCCAATTATATAGCTGGAACTTTACAGTCACAAAAATCTATAATATTTAATTATTGTATTTTTATTTATTTATTTCAGTTACATAAACTAAAATGAGATTTCATATGGCTGGACTTAAGGATGGGTGCTCGGATTCCAGGCATCTATTTAAATTATGTAATGAAACTCAAAAATCCAAGTATACCTTCAAATTCTTAAAATACAGAAACAAAAATAATATATAGCATATAAATTTAAATAATATATAATGAATACCTAAAATAAAAATGAAAATTGGTAAATTTTATATAGTTGGATAATTAGAAGGTATGTTGCGTATTTTGTATTTTGAATAATCTTTTAATATTTTGATAATTATTTTTGGCTGGTTCCAAGTATTTAGGATGATTCTGAAAAATTTCAAATACTCTTTAGATATTAGGTCTAAACTAATTAATATATTTAAATGCATAGCTATCATTCAAGAATTTTTAGTATCCAATTTATCCTACTTCAGGTTGGATTTGATTTTCCGAATACAAAATTTTTAAATATGAATGGATATTTTACCGTTTTAGTTCGGATTTGATACGACTTTTTGGATTGAATTTGTTTCTGCTTTTCGGGTTTGAATATATTACTCAGTCATAATTGGACTTTATATCGTTTAGACCACAGATAAATCGAAACATCATCAAAACCAAACAATATAGCAATCTCAATTTGGATTTACGTTTCTCTATTAGTGGTGACGCTATATATTGTCGACAAAGACACTTTCATGTCTACTAGGTTCACAATATATATCTTACACCTATCAAATTGCAAGATATCAAATTTATATTGTAATAAGAGTTTACTCTCTCCTAAAGGGTACCCCTTCATCATTTTTATGGATTCCACAAAAATATTTAAATTCTTAATTATATAATTTTAATTGATAATTTTTTTCTAATTTTTCTTATATATATATATGATTGTATATATTGGGTTGGTACATTATTTTCCAAATATAAAAATAAAAACCATACGCATACTAATACCGAACATGTAATAAAACATATACAAAGTGACCATTTGTGTTTAAAAAATCTAGTTATCTTGGAGAAATGAATCGTCAACCGAGAAAAACATTTGTTAAGTTTTCACATTGGCATACATATATCTAAGCAAGATGGGCTAAACATCTTAACTAACGCAGTAAACATAAACATGCCCAATGATCTTTTTTCTTTATCGACGATCTCATCATTCTCGTGCACAAGATCACTTTCTCTTGATAGATCCACTTGACCCTGACCCGATTCTAGAATATTCATAAACTGGCCTCCTCTTGAAACTGGAATGACCGTAGGAGTTCCTTGTCGGTGTAGTATATTCTCGACCTCCTTAACAATTATAATGTACTCTCGTGGCTGCAAAAAGAAAATGTTCAGACACTACCGGAACTGAAGCTAACCGCGATATCCTTTATAGATTTGGACCTCGAGATAAATAAATAATATACAGAACATATAGTAAGGGTTGAGAGGTCTTTGACCTTTTCTTGTCAAAGGTCAAACCAGTTTTGCAAGATAGAGGATTGAACTTTTGGTTCTTGGAACAACAAATCTCTTTGTGTGTTTCCTCTAGATCTAGAACTCTATAACCTTTAGAAATTGAGATGAAAAGAAAATACTTTATAGAATAGAACAAAGTAACAAGAAAAGTATGCTAAGCTTTTCAAGTACAAAAGGTATCAAAACAATAAAAGCATCTAAAGAACAAGAAAGCATGTTTAGCCAAACAAAATTGCAAAAACTATAAATAAGAGTTCCATTAGGTTAAAGACTCGTCAGGGGAATTTTTGTAATACTGGGAAGACTTGGGCTTCAAGTCGGCCAAGTTGAACTTGCTCTCCACACATCGTATCGATTGATGGTACATGGTGTACATCGATTGATGGAGTATCTTGACTTCATCTTCGATAAAAGCGTCATCGATCGATTACACAGGGTGTGTATCGATTGATATGTGTCCTCATTGTCTGATCTTCATAGTCATCTCGGAAAATTCTTCTTTAAGCTCCAAAAGGGCACTTAAATCATCATTTTACTCCAAAGTGCTCCTAGACCTGAAAACATACCTAATAGACTCCAAAACATATATAAAACTCATAAAAACATATCAATACCATGGCGAAAAGTGGGTCAAAATCATGGTTTATCACTCTTCTTTCTAGAATTCTCGATTACTCAAAATCATGACTCATCCAGACGAGGAGTATAGGGAGATGAAGGCTTTGAAGAGAGAATTCGACATGTGTGGCTTCGTGGCGGATGCCTAGTGTGGGATTCCGACCAGATGCCCTTGTGGGGGTAGAATCATGAACGAGGTGTCTCGGGACCTTAAGTATCCAACCGGTTTTGATACTTTACTGGGGAGAAAATACTTCACTTGCAAAACATTTTAGGTAATTTATGGATACTTTCGGGGTTTATTTATGTGCAGATTTTGATACTTTTCAGTTTCACGTGTAGAATGATGGCTTCCATTTCTGTCAACCATGGGTCTTCGGAGTCCAGGAAGAGGTCGAAATGTTAAGGAAGCGTGTGGATGCGATGGATAAGGAGATTTCCGAACTGAAGTATGAACTGAAGTATTAGCTTACCCGTCCGAATCCTACCACTCCATTAGATTCGGATTATGTTCCTCTTTTACCAATCTCTCATCTTATGTATTTATGGATTCATGTTATGTTCACCCAAACATCTATCTATTTCAGTTACGTATGAACTATTCGTTATGAACTCGGCATTCAACTCATCCTATGTTAGATTGTTATGTTTTCGAAGGAAGTTAAGTTGAAAGTGAAACTTTGAAAGTTTCTCCCAATCTCCCTCTTTTTTGAGATTTTTGAAGGAAGTTAGGTTTACGAAATTAGACTAAGTTGAAACTGAAACTTTGAAAGTTTCTCCCAATCTCCCTCTTTTTGGAGTTTGATTAAGTCTTAAAAGAGTTCGTCTTAAAAACACATAAGTCTTAAATAACTTAAGTTTTAAACAATAAACATGCAAGTCATACGGAAATTCAAATATGTCATACAAACCGAATAGAGTTCAACCACATTAAAACAACTACAAACGGATTTTACTCCATCTTCTTACCTAACTTCTTTGTCTTACTCTTCTTCAGCTTCAGGGGTGGTTTCTTCTGGGCTGCCTTATTAGTTTCTGCCTTCTTAGCTGCTACCTTCTTAGCTGCGGCCTTCTTAGCTGCCTCCTTCTCAGCTGATATCTTCTTAGCTGCCTCCTTCTCAGCCGTTGCCTTCTTAACTGCCTTCTTCTCAACTGCCTTATTTGCACCTTTGTTCTTCTTCCCTGCAGCCTCTTCCTCTGCTACCTCTTCCTCTGCTGCCTCTTCCTCCGATGCATCCTCATCTGCGGCCTCCTCTTCCTCCGATTCCTCCTCCTCCTCTCCCTTCTCCCCCCCAAAACTCATGCTTCTTGTATTAACGGGACTCCTCACTTTTCCTAAACCCTTTGCCTTTTTTGAAGGCTCTGCTTCTTTTCCATCATCTATTCTCCCCCTTTTTTTCTTCTTCTTTGCCTTCTCAGCCTCTATCTTCTCAGCCTCTGCCTTCTCATGCTTCTCACATGACCAATCATCTGTGCAGTATCTTCATCCATGTTATCATCAACATCACCATGTTCCTTCTGCACTTCGTTTGTAACATCGCGAATGTAATTATTTACATCATCTTCTTCCTCTGACTCCTTACTCTCTTTATCACTACCATCCTCTTCCTCCGATGCCTTATCAACATCATCCTCTTTGTTCGACCCCTTATTCTCCTCCGACGAATTATCACCACTCGACGTAAGACTTTTCACTTCGTTTTCTAGAAGAGTTAGCTTGTCAGACAATGAAGAGACTGTTTTCTTCAAATTCTTCACAGCATCTTCGACTGCTTTCATAAGTTGACCGTCCATCGCTTTTAAAGCCTCAGGTCCAGTATCCTCCACCGAATTTGCATAAGCCTTACCAGATTGCGCATTATTCGATTGTCCTCCGATAATATCGGTGGGACCTTTAAGCTTTGCTGTGTGAGCTTCACAATCGATGCGGAACTGTTCTTCAAAGAAAACTTGTGTCGAGCCTTTCTGTAATATCTTCGACCAACGATCAACTGCTTCATCATCGGAGTCATCGGCCCAACAACATTCCTTGTCCATCCCTATGGTTTCCAGAAGTTTCTTCTCAGCT